GGGGTCTAGTGTGAGGTGTTTGGGTTATGGGGGCGGATCCTTCATTAAAGGCTTGTTGCCATTCTGGAGTTTAGTGAATGAGTTCTTGCTCTTGTGATTAGCTCTGGGGTAATGGATTAGTTGTTATAAAGCCAGGATGCTTCTCAGGTTTGGTTCCTTTTTTCACATGTCTTCTTCCCCTTTGACTGTCTCAACCATGTTTTAACTCAGTACAAAAGCCCATAGCAGAAGCTGAGCAGATGTCAGCTCCATGCTTCTTGTACAGCCTGCAGAATTATGAATTAAATAAACCTTCATTCTTTGTAAGTATTTCTTTATAGCAACACAAACCGATTAAAACATTGGGGAAAGTATTTATAAGATTATTTCAATGAGTTAGATACTTAGATAAAATGGACACCTTATTTGAAAGAAATTACTGAACCAGGCTCAAGAATAAATGGACCGTTTTAATAACCTTATGTCTATTTTTAAAAATCAGATTCTAAATTTAAAACCTTCCCATAAAGCAAGGAATAACCTGAATGATGATTTTCATCAAATATATAAGGAAAAATACCAATTTTATACAAGTACTTCAGCAAATAGAAGAGAGAGGCTGTCCCCATAAAAAATTATTTTATGAGGCTGGAAATATCCTGATACCAACATCTAACAAAGACATGACAAGAAAATAAAACAGTGGACCAATAGTCCACACGAATGAGAGCCAAACAAAGTTTATCCCAGTAAAATAAGACTGGCTTCATTCAAAAGTGAATTAATATATAACCACCATATTCACAGAATGAAGTAGGAAGCCCATATGATCATTTCAACAGATGTATAAAAATCATGTGACAAAATTCAGTGTCCATTCAAAATAAATATTCTCAACAAACTAGAAATAAAATACTTTCTCAAACTGATAAAGGACGTTTGTGAAAAATTTGAAGACAACATGATATTTGTGGTGAAAACTTGGATGCTTAAGATTGGGAACAAGACAGGAATATGTGATCTCATCAGTTATATTCAACAATGTTTGGGAGGACCTAGCCAGTTATATAATGCAAGAAAATGAAGCTGTAAAGATTGCATAGGGCTTGCTGGTTCACTCCTGTATCTCCAGCATTTTAGAGTCCTAAGGCAGAAGAATCACTTGAGGTAGGAACCTGAGACCAGCCTGGACAACATAGCAAGATCTTGTCTCTACAAAAAAATCAAAAATTTAGTGAGGGCATGTACTTTTAGTTCCAGCCACTCAGAAGTCTGTGGCAGAAGGATCACCTGAACCCAGAAAACCGAGGCTGAGGTGAGCCATGACCATGCCACTCTACTCCAGTATGGGCAACGGTGTGAGAATGCAACTCAAAAAAAAAAAAAAAAAAGGAAGTTTGCAGAGGGAAAAACAAAACTTTTGTACTTATGGACAGCATGATTATGTACATAAAAATCCCAAGTAATCTACAGAAGATATTACTAGAACTAACAAGTTAATTTAACAAGTTCACAGTGCATAAGGTTTATATTACATCAAGATTAACTGTATTTATATTATCAGTATATTAGTATATCAGTATATTATCAGTATATTATCAATTAGAAATTGACTAACAGTCAGGTCCCGGCAGCAACTGTAGTGCCGTCTTGTTCTCTGGCTCTCCTCGCCACCTCTCCTCCTCGCTTCCAGAAACATGGCCTCTGGTGTGGTTGTCTCTGGTGGCGTCATCAAGGTGTTCAGTGACATGAAGGTGCGCAAGTCTTCCACACCAGAGGAGGTGAAGAAGCGCAAGAAGGCGGTGCTTTTCTGCTTGAGTGAGGACAAAAAGAACATCATCCCAGAGGAGGGCAAGGAGATCCTGGTAGGTGATGTGGGCCAGACTGTCGATGACCCCTACGCCACCTTTGTCGAGATGCTGCCAGACAAGGACTGCCGCTATGCCCTCTATGATGCAACCTATGAGACCAAGGAGAGCAAGAAGGAGGACCTGGTGTTTATCTTCTGGGCTCCTGAGTGTGCACTCCTTAAGAGTACAGTGATTTATGCCAGCTCCAAGGACGCCATCAAGAAGAAACTGACAGGAATCAAGCATGAATTACAAGCAAACTGCAACGAGGAGGTAAAGGATCGCTGCATCCCGGCAGAGAAACTGGGGGCAGTGCCATCATCTCCCTGGAGGGCAAGCCTTTGTGAGCCCCTTCTGGTCCCCTGCCTGGAGCATCTGGCAGTCCCAGACCTGCTCTCAGGGCTTGCAGGCTGCCCCCTCCCTGCCAGACGGGGGGGGGGGGAGCTGGGGGAATCCCAGTAGGCGGAGGGCAATCCCTTCACCCCAGTTGCCAAACAGCCCCCCTCCACCCCCTGGAGTTCCCTCCCTTCATCCCTGATGGTTCTGGCCTTCCCAAACCGCTTTTGATCTTGATTCCTCTTGGGTTGAAGCAGGCCAAGTTCCTCCCAGGCACCCCAGTTTGGGGGGGGGGACTGTGTGTTTTTTTAACAAAACCCTCACTCGCCACCTGTTCCTCTCCCTTCCCATGCTGTCACCTGTTCCTCTCGCCACCTGTTCCTCTCCCTTCCCAACTTCTAACCGCATGGTGGCTCTGTGCTTGTCTGTCTAGTTCTGTGTACAAATGGAATGTTGTGGCGATGACCCCTCCCCATGCCGGGTGGTTCCTCTCCCTTTTCCCTTAGTCATGGCCATTCATGAAGCAGGACCAGTAAGGGACCTTCGATTAAAAAACAACAAAAAAAGACAATAAAAAAAAAAGAAATTGGCTTTTACAAAAATAACACAATAGTCCAGAAACATGAAAAATTTAGGTATAAATGTAATAAACTATGTCCAAAAACTGTACATTAAAATCTGCAATGGACTCAAATAAGTGAAAAGATATGCCATGCTCATGTATTAGAAGATTTAATGTTGTTAAGGTGTCAATTCTTCCAAACACGTGTCTATATATTTAATATAATTCCAGTCAATATTCCAGAAAGCTTTCTTAAAGAAATGAAGGACCCAGAAAACCAAAACAATTTGGTAAAAGAACAGTGCTGGAGAACTTACTATCACATTGCAAGATGTAATATTGAACTACAGTAATGAGGAGAGTGTTTTACTGATATAAGGATAGACATGTAAATCAAGGGAACAGAATACATAGTCCAGAAATAGACCCTCCCATATACTAATCGACTGGTTTTCTACAAAGTGCCAAGTTGACACAATCAGAACAGATAGCCTTTTAAACAAACGTTACTAGAAGAAATGGATATTTGTATTTTTTAACTGAATCTCAAATCTAACCTCATACTGCAAATATTGCTTTGTTTGAAATGAGTCATATACTTAAACATAAAATTGGAAACTCTAACACTTTTAAAAGAAACCATAGGAGATGATCTTCATAATACTGGAGTATGCAAAGTCTTCCTAAGCAAAACACCAAAAGCACTAACATAAATATTAACTATTGAACTTCATTTAAAATGTTAATGCACTCTCTTTGAAAGACATTGTAAAGAAAATGAAATGGCAAGACACTGGCTGGGAAAAAATATTTATAAAATATACGTCCAATAAAGAAACTATATCAAGACTATGTAAAGAACATGTACAACTCAATAATAAAAAGAAAAAACAATGAAACAAGAATGGCAAAAGCTTTAACCATACAATTCATAAATGAAGTTCCATTAATGATCAAAGGCACATGAAAAAATACTTAGTATCACTAGCCATCAGGAAAATGTGACTGAAAACCACAATAAAATGCCATTATACACCATCTGAAATGGCTAAAGCAAAAAACAAAAGACAACAGGTTGCCAACTATTGGCCAGGATATGGAGTAATCAAAAGTTTCATACATTGCTGACGGAAATATAAAATAGTACAACCATAATGAAGAACTCTTTGGTAGTTTTTTAAGAAGTTATACATACACTTACCATATGATTTGACAGTTGTACCTTTAGGTGTTTACCCAACAGTAAAAAAATCATATATTCAAAAAAAGACACATACATGAATGGTGATATTACTTTTTTTTATAATGGCCAATAATTGAGAACAATTCAAATGTTCATCAACAAGTAAGATAATTTTTTAAAGAAAATATGGTGTATTCAATGTTGTTCTGGAGTACTACTCAAGAATCCGAATTAGGAACAAACTACTGATCTATATTACACAATAGATTAAACTCAAAAGTATTATGCAGAGTTAAAGAAGGTTTACATATAACAGTACACACTCTATGATTGCATAATATGAAATTCTAGAATCAAAGATTTCTCTAGCAGCTGACAAAATAAGATAAGTAGTTGCCTGGGTGGAAGGGATGATGAGTAGAGGATGGATGCAAGGATCTTGACATTGTTGTCACACCAGTGTATATATTGTCAAACTTTAACTGAAATATGCACTAAAAATGCTGCATTTTATTATATGTAAATTATATCTCAATAATATTTATTTTCAAGGCAGCAAGAAAATATGCATGCACACATATGTACACACATGTCACTGTTTTATGTTGCATTATTCATTTTTAATTTATTAACTCTCAATTCTACCATCCCATCAGTACTAGTAATAGCCACAAGTCCAAACTTGCCTTATTTCTCTTCCAAATAGTTCTAGTTATCTTTTATTCATTAATAAATAGGAATGCATAATAAAATAAAAAGTTACCTCAAACATCCATTCTTAATGAGTGATTGAGAATTGAAAGACCATTGCCAGCCAGAAGGTTTGAGGTTCATAATTAACATCAAAGTGTGCTGTGGTACATATTTTTAAATTACAGTGGGATCTATCAGTTGTTTATTCAAATAAGTTTCAAATCGTTGATAACGTACAAACATATCACAAATATGTATTATTCTTAAGCAGGATGCTACGGAAAAATTTACACTGATCTTCACAGTGGAAGAATCTGAGGGAAGTATATATTTAAAGTCCGCATAGACTCCTGTTTTTAGCTAGAACATGCAGTAGTCTAATGGAATTGTGAGTTTCTCATCTTTTAGCACACACCTTAGCTGTCATCAAAAGAAAGGCCTGCCTCAACTTAGCATTTCCCCAAATAAGGATAAAAGAGTGGATTGCCGGATAGATGGATCCCATTGCCAGACAAAGCATATGGACCAGTTTGTTCTGATACAAATCAGAAATCCATGATATGAGAAGGGACAGAAAAAAAGAAGCATAGAGTAGGAGGAACGAGATCACAGTTTTCAAGGCATTTATGTGAGCTTTGGTCTTGAGGTCTTTGAGTCCTTTGGAATTAAGCTGCATTTTCCGGAGATGTTTCCACAGGGAAAAAATTAACAGGAGAAAAGAGATCAGGGCCACAGTAAATGGTATTAGGCTGAATATAGTCACAGTGAATTTGATCTGCCATGAAAATGTTGCAAAGTCACTCATTCTGGAATTCCAAGTTGTGTTTCTTCCATATGGATCCAGCCAGTCTTTAATATGTATGTGTATTTGTAGCACATTTAAAAACAAGAAGACCAAGGTTCCTAGCAGTATCATCAGAATCACTTTTTTTACTCTCCACTTCAGATAGAGAAAAGTAGAGCTGGAAAAACTGGCTATTTTGAGCAAATAAAAGATGCTAAGGATTGTAGCAAGCCAGAGACTGAAGTGATTGGCAACTATCCAGGTAAAAATAACAATTCTTAATTCTGTTCCCACTACAAATAAGGCTGGATAATGCAGAACTATAAACCAATTTGCTAGTATCTCCCACACCAAAATAATTCTGGAGATTGCCAAGAAAATGAGGATTTGATCAACTAAAAACAGCTTTTTTTTATTGACCCAGTCAATGCAGTTTATCAGTATTATGAAGCCATTGCTCAAATTCCCAGTCATGAACTCTGCAATTAATACAAGAGTTAAGATGCTCTGCAGGCCACTTTCCATTTAAGAATAGAGAATGCTCAGACTCTATTATCACCGACGGTTATTTGCTGATCTAAAATACTATTCTTATCCGTGAATGTACTGCTGAGTTATTCTTCCTCCTTATCCTCTTGTTCCTTCTTTTATCATTGGCTCAATGTCAAGTCAGAAATCTTCAAGGTTTGCCCATCAATAGTCACATAGCTCTTCTTGTGAAATATTTATTTTTCTCCAATTTCTCTGCTGAGCCCCAGCAAAGACATTTATGGCCTCACCACAAGCAGAAATATTACATAGATGATTATGAAGTAAATTTCAACTCACATTTGCAACCATGCAAATAAAGATATATTCTCTTTCATTGTTTTATACTTTTGTTCCTTGCCTAAGCTGTGGAAAATTTAGTTCCAACAGCTTGAGTTCTGTAGTACAAAGGTTATAAAAATTTAATTATAAGCTATGTAGCTAAACGATGGCTTTGTGGTTAACAACATTGCCGCTGAGGATTTGAAAAACACACAAAAAGAGGTCTATGTTATTTCAAAAAAAGTCCTGAGTTTCTGTGGAGCTAAAGCCGGATCTGGCCAATATTGTGAATGAAGAGAAGCTTATCTACAAAGCATCAGTCTCTTTCTAATTCCCTGCCTCCTCAGCACTCAGTAGTGCTCTCCACCATCCCACAGATGCAACAAATGCCTTCAGATTTTACAAACTTTCCCTCACATTTCTTTTTCAAACTTAAAAATGAGAAAAAAATACATTATGAAATATCAGCAATAGCTACAAAAGAAAGAAATACTACATTATATCTTAAATTTCAAAACTGACAGCCAAGCAAGGAAATAGTAATCCCACCACCCTCCATAAGAGATGCATTCCAAGACTCCCAGTGGATTCCTGAAATAAGAGATAGTACCGAACTCTCTACATACTATGTTTTTTTCTATAGATACATATCTATAATAAAGTATAATTTATAAATTAGGCATTGTAAGAGATTAACAACAACTAATAAGACAGAAAATGATAACGTATACCTTTACAAAAGTTTTGTAAATGTGGGTTCTCTTTCTCTTTTACTGTCTCAAGATATTTTATTGTACTATACTCGCCTATTTGCAGAACTTTGTTGACCTCAGGTAACTGAAACCAAAGAGAACAAAACTACAGATAAGTTGGGGCTACTACATTCATTGTGAATAGTCAAAGTTCCTCACTCCATCCCACCCTCTCAAACAATACCAAGGAAAATGCATCAACAAAATTCTGAAAAAGAGGAGACTCAAGAAAGATGATCTAATTAAATATTAATATAAATAAAATAATATTTTATCTTGATTATAGCATAACAAATAACCTATTTTGCTGGATAAAGAAAAAACTACCTTATGTTTGTATTTTATTACTCATGCAAACTTTAATGGGTGACCTACAGAACACTCAGAAATGCACAAAATAATTTAATTGCATCATCTTTGATGATTTTCAAATTTCATTTACAACTCAAAATAGGTAGGCAGTTATTTTCTATTTTGCTGTTATATTTGTCAAGGCAGAGTAGCACATATTTCCTTTAAGTTTGTTGGCTTTCTATATTTATGACCTGTCACTCATGAAACAAGCCTAAGGAAATTCTTTATACTTTTTTCATTTTAGGAGGAAATGAGACTGTCTTCCTATCTATTGAGAGAAAAAAATTTCGGGATGCTGGCCACAACTTTTAACCCAGAAACTCCACTATTCCTGAGGGACAGGACAGTGCTTGCATGTGAATAAGCACCATGGTTCTTTAGAACTTGTGATATAATACATAATAGAATTTAAATGGATAGCAGAGTTGCAGTTTTGAGGTTCATGTTCCTGGTATGCTTATATAAGAGAGACCATTTTGAAAATAATAAATCAGATCAAAGAAAAGTGGTCTCCCACTTCTATGGGAGGAAGAGAATCAATGCTAGGAAAAAAATCACAGAAAGACTTTTCCAGAAGTCTGAACTGAAAAGGAAAACGAAGCAAAGGGTAGGAAGAAAAAAACTATGAAAGGTTTGACTATGTCATGCATTTTCCATGGAAGGTTGAAACAATCATATGATGTATACAGGTTGAATGTAGTTTTTTTATCCCCCTCTTACTATTATTCACCCAAGATATCCTCAGCCACTCAGTACAAATTCTTATATGGCCATACAACTTTGTGTATGGCCATATAAATTCTTATATGACCGTACGACTTTGTGTGCTAATGTTATAGGAAGGACAGTTTTTCTTCACTAATGAACCAGTCAGTAAATGTCAAATAGTAGGATTCATGGTGGGCATCCTGAATTATTCTTAGACCTAAAAAGAATTTATTCCAAATGTTTTACCTTAAGTATCATGTTTGCTATAGATAATGTTTGGATTCCCTTACTGATTAAAAATGTTCCCCCAAATACTTCTATTTTTTTATTTTTCTGTAAGCATCACTGAATTAATCATGTATATCCTTCAATCTGTGATTGTTTTTATTACGATAATTAATTTTCTAGCGTTAAACAGAACTGCAATCCTGGAATAAATCCACCTTGGCTATGGTGTATTTTTTTCAGTCATTGTTGGATTCAATTAACTAATATTCTGTTAACATATTTGCATCTATGTTTAAAAGTAACATTAATGTCTAACTTTTATTTCTCATACTGAACCAATCAAGGTCTGGTGTTTAAGATACAAATTTTTTGAGAAGTGTTCCTCTTCTGTTTTTCTTTATTTTCATTTTCTATTAATATTTATAGTAAATATGTAGAACATTTTATGAAGTACAAATGCTCTATTATAAAGCACACACTAATGTAAACACCTCACAAATCATGAAAGGGAACTTTGTAAACCCTAAAACACCTTACATGCTTCTCCCCAATCATGAGAAGATTGAATCATGATCCCCAATCATAACCCCCTCTTCATTCTAGAAGTAACAACTGTCTTGCAATTGAAATTACTGCCTTATTTTACTTTATATATTTTACATTTGCGTATGTATCCATAAGCAATAGCTTAGCTTTCTCTGGCTTTGAATTGCATATGAATGTAATAATACTATACACGTTGTTGCATATTCTTAATTTTGGTCATATGTTTTAAAATTCATCATGTTGCATATAGGGATAGATCATTTAAAGGCTGAATAGTATTAATAAATCAATTATTCATAATATATCTATTATAGTGGAAACATGCATTGGGTTGTTTTGAGTTTGTAGGCTATTAAAATGATGCTATGAATATTCTTTAACATGTACTTATTCTTAAGTATATACACATACTTTCCTGTGATCTTGATGTAGAACTATTCTGTTGCCTATTTCTCCTGGACTGGTTTTGATCGTTGCAGTTTTGTAGATATTTGTCAATTTCAGCTTATTTATATTTCTATGTAAATTTGGTTATAATATCCTCTCATATTTTTAATACTCACAGAATGTCCCTTCAAAATTATTCATGTTATTTATTTTCCTTTTCATGATCTGTCTCACCAGAAGTTTATCAGTTTTATCAACTATTCAAATTACCAGATCTGTGTTGGTCAATCTTTTCAAATCTATTATCTTTCATCAATTTATTCTCCCATTGTATTATTTACTTCTTCTGACTTCTCTTAAGTTTGCTGGGTTATTTTTCTTCTAACTTTCTGAAATGGATACTTAGGACATTAATTTTCGTCCTTGCTTCTTTTCTAACATACTTATTCTAAAAATACACATTTTCCGCCGGGCTTGGTGGCTCAGCCTGTAATCCCGCGCCTTTGGGAGGCTGAGGTGAGTGAATTGCCTGAGCCCGCGGGTTCGAGACCCGCCTGGGTAGCGAGACCTCATCTCTACAATAAATCAAAAAAATCAGCTGGGCGTGGTGGCGCATGCCTGTAATTCTGGCTACTCGGAAGGCTGAGGTGGAAGGATCGCCGGAGCCCAGCAGGCCGAGGCTGCGGTGGCCGGGAGCGGCCACTGCACTCCAGTCTGGGCAACAGAGTGAGACTCCAACTCAAAAAAAAAAAAAAAAAAAAAAATACACATTTTCCTCTCAGAATTTAACTATTTATTACAATGTTTTACTATAATTCATTATGTTTTAAGTTTAAATACTTTATACGTTTTATAGTGGTTTTTTAAACCATGGACTATTTTTTAAATATATGTTTGAGCTTTCTTTCCAGTTGAATTTTCTGTTATCATATTGTTATTTATATCTGGCAAAATGAATTAAAGTTAAAGATAATACTCTATGGGTTGACAATTTGTGATTTCTGTAAAAATTTACATTTAGCATGTAGTCTATTTTGATGAATGTTTTGTGCTTATTGAAAATATGTGCATCCTGTAGTTTGGGGATACAATGTTTCATATATCCACTAGATATATGTTGATTATGCTGTTTAAATACTTTTTATTTTTTCAGAGCTTTGTCTTCTTATTTTTATTTATTGAGATTTAATGCAATTCTATGCTACTTTGAGTATAGATTTATCTATTTCACTTTGAACTCTATCAGCTTTTACTCTATGTATTTTTATGTTGTTTAGTGCATACATTAGAATCACAGTATCTTCATGGTAAATTTAACCTTCAGCCATATGAAGTGGCATTACATACTCTAATGCCTTTTTTCTTAAAATCTATTTTGTATACATTAAACAATCATATTAGCTTATTTTTGTTAGTGTTTATGGTATGCTGTTTCCAAATTTTACTTCAATATTATTAGGATAGGGTCATATAAACTTCTATGAAATCATAGCTATCATTGTTTAAATGATTCAGATAGCACTAATCATGCTAACAAATATATTATTTATTTTACCAGAGCCACAGGTGATCATTTTCCATATTCAAAAGAGTACCCAAATAATGAAGTCTAGTGTCCTCATATGCAAATATGGGCAGTTTCCCTTCCACCATTTTCACTTTTTGATTCACCTTAAAATGCAGTTCATGAACACATTATAGTCCCCAATTAGAATACTAACCGGAGATTGGAGAATAGAA